TTTTTTTTTAAATGACAAAAATAGTCTTTGAGAATCTGTTATTATACATTCAAATCAACAACCTGAAAAAAATTAAACAATATGTGAAAAAATCACTAGAGTGTTTCTACCATAGGTTTCTACAGAGAGCTGTAAATCCACTAGTGGTAAAAATGTGCTATTGCGTGATAAAAATGCTCAGTGTGTCCACCAGATGGCTCCGATCTCATTTCAAAAATTGCTTTCATGAGGCCTAGACTTGACTCTAAAATGAAATACAGCTTTAATAATTTTTTTTATTTATTATATATATTTATATATATATTCTATTATATTCAATGGGAAAAAATGGGTCTTAATTATTGCATAAATATTAATTAGAAATCATAAAATTATCTCAAAACACCAAAAAAGAAAAGAGAAAATATTATTGAACAAATATATTTCATTGATTTTACTCAAATAAAATGTATCTTAATGCCGCCCTCCGGGTCATTTTTGACCCGAAGGTCCTGAGTGTGAGTCTAAAATGAAGAACCCCAGAGGGTTAAAAAGGCATTTAAATTTAATGTGAAGATACCTGCAGAAACCCTGGAAATGAATATTCCCTAGCCTGGAGGAAATGCAAATTCACACTTGTACAACAAACATAACCCAGTTGTCCATGTCTGTCGCCATGGTTACTATGGTAGTACGAGCGGAAACCTTTTACCTTTGCTGCTTTTCTGGATTGTAGAATAGGAAGCAGAGTAAATGAACACTTTCTTCATAAAAAAAATGTGATCAGTCATTTTGCTTTTTGGAGTCGTCGTATTGGATTATTGAATGTCCGCAACAAATACATTTGTTAATAAAGTGAGAATGAATACATTGGTATATTTGTATTCAACATTTAATTACAGGTTTACGTAATCTGAGTTTGCATTAAACTGTTTTTATTCATTAAGGAATATTGAATCTGTTTTTGTGCAAGTGAGATGAATAGATGCCTGCTTACACTATTAGTCTAGAACTACAATAACCATGTTTGCACAGCGCACACAACGCCTCCACACCTCAGTCCTGATTCCTCTCAACATGGGTACAGGAGACCTGTTGGTCAATAAATGGGAAACAAAGTGAAAATGTAACGGATAATTTGAGTTTAAAAGTAATGCGTTACTTTACTCGTTGCGTAATCTGATTGTTACTGCCCAACGATGCACCTGACCATCTTGAACTTTGCAAGTCCTTCATAAATGGCCATATTTGCATCCTGAAAAACATATGTGCCAAGAGTCTTTTTTTAAAGCAGTTTTACAGATTTGATCTTGCAGTATTACAAGTTTATCTTTGTACTAATGGCTGTCTCTGTCATCAGGGCAACAAGCCATGGGTTTCCCTGCCTCGTGGAAAGGGTATCCGCCTGACCATTGCTGAGGAGAGAGACAAGAGACTGGCTGCCAAACAGAGCAGCAGCTAAGTCAACAGGACTAGCGTACACCTTGATTTCAAATAAAAAGTTATTTACAACTATGAATTGTGGTGTTCTTTTTAAATAAGTGTATGGCCTACAGCAATGGTTCTTATCCCTTTTTCACTCTACGGCCCACTACCCAGAAGTTTGAATATTATTCAATTTCACATCTTGACTTTTATTAGTTGTAGTTATTTAGATAATATTTTGAATTCTTGTGGCCCTTGTGGCGTGGCCCTTTGCCAGTTTTCCACAGGCCTTTTTTTTTCTCCTTCCTCTGTTACATACTGCTTGAACTGACATTTAAACTAGTGTATTGAAAAACAGTGTTCATAAAGAGCTGTCTCAACTTTACATGCATTTTGCAATTTACACTATTATGTGTCCCACTAACAATATATAAGCAATATATTGTGTGTCTTGTAATAATTAAAAGTTCTACAGACTTGCGGTCTTAATGTAGCCTAGAAATCTAGACGCACCCTAGCGGCAGCGAAAATTATTTCGCAGCCAGTGTGGTCTAGCAACTCTCCATAGGCTTTTGAGCTGTAAAAACCAAAAACTGGTCAGGCCAATCACATCGTGTATAGAGTCGGCGGGCGGGCTTAACACAATGACGGCACAGTTCATGATGTTCCGCGTGATTTCCATAGGTGATTTCCCTGCTACTTGAAAACAATGAAGATGCAGCGGTCTTTCGAATCGGCTTTGGCCGCGACTCTGGAGGACTTGGAGTTAAGAGAACGTCACTTAAGTCATTCTTAAAAAAGGAAGATGTGTTCGGAGTTTTACCGACCTGATACGGCAAAAGTTTAATATATCAATTAGCTCCGCTGGTGGAAAAACGCATGGGACTCACTCATCCACAACCGTTCGTTGCTCTGGTTGGTTGTAGCGCTATCCTATTGCGTGCAGAGGGATTTTGAAAGGTAACCGTTTATCCCGCCCCTCGGATTGAGGTATGTCAATGGAGAGTTCCCAGACCTAACATCTTGATGTAGGTCTGGCATGCCAGGCTAGTCTTAATGCCCACTTGGACCAAATACAGGAACTATTTAATGCAAGTCAAGTGCAAATATCGGAAGTGCTAGTATTGGGACTCTAATTAGTTTGAATGGTGGAGTGGGTAGTTATATATTTACTGACACCTGGTGGTGTGGTTATCACACCAAAGGAAGCCTTGTTTGATGCCATCATAGAAATGCGTTGTTTGTAGTCAATCATGACTGTCTAAAACGCTACCAGGTTACTGACGTAATCTCCATGTTTTCCCCCCATAAGGCTGACCCACTCATGTTAAACATTAACAGAATCTAAAATGATAATGTAATGTATAGATCAAAATTATGAAATTTAGACCTATTAATATACACCTTTGTGTAATCAAGTGTTCCCAAATATATTATTTAGCAGGTTCAGGTGTGTTTGATTAGACTTGAACTAATAAACTTTGCAGGACAGTGGAATCTCCAGGAACTGGATTGGGAATGGGCACTCCTGTTTTAATCTAATATTTAAAGGAATAGTTCACATAAAAATTGTCATCATTTACTTGCCCTCAAGTTTCACACCTGTATGAATTTCTTTCTTCTGCTGAACACAAAGATATTTTGAAGAATGTTGGTAACCATTTATCGTTTTTAAGTGAACTATTCTTTTAATTCCAAATTATTATTTTTTTCTTTGATCGGATATAAAATGCATGGAGTGACAAGTATAAATAGGCCCATAGTTTGTGGAAAAGCTGGAACTGAGGTGTGCAGTTTTTAAACTAAAGGAAAGTTTATCTTTGATAAAAAAAATTAGTCTTAAGAGTTAAATAAGCAGGATGGTTTCAGCACAGTACTGAACTCTTATTTTAGAGTATCTTAGCATTTGCAATGTTTGAATGAGTGGGTGTTTATGAACTAGAGCAAATATTTGTATAGATGGTTCTACTTTTGGATCTGTTGATTCGATAAGACTGGAACACACATGTGTGTATGTTTTCCTCTTGTGCCACATAGCTGAGGCTCAACTCCAGAAGGCCATATGGGCCCTGCTGAGCTTCAGCCTGTTCCTCCTGCAGCCCTTGGCCTGCTGGTCCACAGCAGCTCAGCACGGCTCACCTCAACACACATTGCAGGGGCTGTCTGCCAGAACGCAATACAAACTAAAAACACACAGACTCTGGTGTCCTTGAGTTTAAACATTCTGCGGCATTTGAAAGCATAATCATCCTGAAACCACTCACCCACCTCCCTGTCCTGATGGACTTTCTGCTAGGTGTTTCTCTGTCATCTATGGAAGCCTATTTCTGCCACATACGAAAAAAAGTAGGATAAATCATAATAATGACATAAAAAGTCAATTATTACAATATTTTGACTTTTTAACTCATAATTCTGACTTGGTATCTCATGATTTTGACTTTTTATCTTAACTGACTAGTATATTTTTAACTTTTATAATTAGTCATAATTATATATTTTTGTCATAATTTTAACTTGTCATTATTATGATTTACCCACAGAATGATTTTGTGGTGGAAATTGGCTTACATGGTCATCACGTATTTAAAAGATGGAAATAAATAATGACAAGTTGAAACTGACAGAAATGAATAATTATCAACATTGTCAAAAAGTTGAATTTATTAGATAAAAAAATCAATTATGACAAACGTTTGACTTTTTAACTTGTTATTGTGACTTAGTGTCTCACATTTTTTACTTAAGTCAATAACGTTTAGTGTCATAATTTCAACTTTTATCTCATCATTTATATTTTTAAAGTTATAATTGTGATTTACCAAAGCATGATTTTTTTCTCATGTAGTTGAAATGGCCTTTCCATCATACTGAAATAAATTACTTAAATAAATTGCTTAAATCACATCAAACTTTAGGTCAGATTTTGAAGCATTTACTCATTTCACATGGTCCCCCATATTAAGTTAATATATGAGTCTGGCTATAGTCCAGGGACCTGTTTGCAAATATACAATATTATGAAAATGAAATTTGAAACTTGCCAGGCCTCACTCCTCCCTCAAATCAAACTTGGCAGATACAATCTATCGCAGGAGACATAAAAAGAAACCATGAACAGAAGAGGAGAAAATAGTCCTTTCAACGAAGCGAGGGGGAGGAGGGTTGCCATGAAGAAAAGGTCCACCAGGAGTGGTTCCTGTCATGCACTCGGGCCATGTGGAGTGGGGTGGGGAACCAGGAACAATGAAGACAGTCATACAGTGAGGCAAAACAAGGCCCAGATGTTTCCAATCAATTCCTGTATGAGATAAGGTTTCATATGAAGCCATAGAGAAACATGCCTGATAAGATTATTAAACATGGAGGACTCTCAGTCTCTCCCCTTCTCTCATAATTTTTGACTGTACGCCCTCTTTCGTCGTCCAGTGTGGAAAGACTGGATGAACAAAACATCTAGGTGAGCCAAGTTCTAGTTCAGGGTGGGGGAGCTTACACACACACACACACACATACTAGACCAGATGTGTATTTAGGGATGGGCAAATGCAATGTTAGAATGTGACTGGAGGAAAGGATTTTTATCCCTCTCATTGTTCTCAGGTTTGTTGGAGTCACTTGAAGCACTTTTAAACCTTATTTTTGTGAGCATGCGCAGAGCAAGGCTGCTTACTAAACGCATAGTTGAGTTTTCGTGAAAGATTCAGCTCATAGGGTCTGGTTGCACGAGTGGGTGAGGTCTCTCAGGCGCAGTTCATGAGAGTTTTGGGCTGTGATTTGCAGTGATATAGTGAACTGGAGGGCTGCAGAGCTCCTCACAGTGGACAGTCAATTACAATGCATAAAATGCCTCCACTGTACGCGCAATCCCGAGCAAGAGTCTCCGCCAACACTCTTCAGCGCTGGCGAAACACGCACTTTTAAAGGGAGTTTACCATAACAGAAGAAAAGATGCCCTTCTGCAAGAGGACTGTAGTCCCTAAAGATGTGTGCAGAAGCGGCGGCAAGAGTCGCGGTGCGATGTTCACGGATCTGGTGGATGTGTGCGGCTTGACTCTGTGCGCGGTACTCCGGCAGCTGTCGGATTTATCCCGTCAGTCGGTGAGCATCCTGGAGGAGCTGGAGGGAGAGCTCGCCTCCATCTGCTACCGCTCCGGAGCTCTGGAGAATAAACTTATCAGCCTGCAGAAACACATCTCAGCACTGGCCACCAAGCCGCCGCTCAAAAGTAGGAACTTTTCAGTACTCTTGCTGACTTATTGATGTGCGTGGATGACTTGTTTACTCACTTAATTGTCAAGTTCAAGGTCTTCTTAACTGATGTTTACATTCACCATGCAACATAACACATCTCTTGACTTTCGTTCCTGGGCTGCTGAGCATATTTTGAGAACAATAGGCCTAACGTATTTATGAATTATATAGGTAGATATTGTGTTTAGTCTCTAAATGTAGGCTATAGCTGTTTCTCCTCTGGCTGTAGATGGAGGGATGATGATCCATGGAAGGAGCAACAATGTTCTTTTGTTCACCACATGAACCTTGTGTTTAGTTCTACCGACTAAACCAATTGCCAAGTCACCAAATAACAATAACAACCCGTTGTTAAGATATTACCATGGTAAACTGTGGTTTCTGCAAATACATACCTTATACTATAGTTATTGTTTTCCCTAAGTATCCCAGGGTCAAATTTGACCCCCTCTGAAAAAAGAAAAACGAAAATTCAGAATTCCCAAATTAAGCTATAACATGCAGGTTGACCGGTGTGTTTTTTGTTTTTGGTGCCAAAGTAGGCTATAGTAGAAAAAAATATATACTTTTTACATACAATGTAAAACCTACATTACCCTACATTATAATATATTGAATATTGATAGAGTAACACAATTTGACTAAAAAGAAATGTTAAAGAATTTTGGGACACAATTTCTGCAAAGGTGTTGGTTTTCCTGGTTAATTTCTATCACTTTTGACATTTCATAATATGTCACATATTTTATATCAACTTCAATGTTATTTCGCTATCAGTTAATGATGTAAATGGACTAATTACAAAAAAAAAAAAAAAAAAAAAAAAATCCTTTTATTATGGCAGTAACAGTTTGTTTCAGTACTACAGGTGTTTAGGAAAGTGCCTAAAGGTTTTTTTTTTTTTTTTGCCATGTAGTGTTTTAGGAGAAAATTCCATCATAGAGAACAATATCGTAATGTGCCATTTTAGAAAATCTAAAGATATTTTTGGGTCATACAAAATGAATTACATGCCAAAAGGTCAAAAGTCAAAACTGGTTCTGGAATTATACAGACCACAGAGAGAAAACCTTGTAATAGTTAATTTGATAAAAAAACGTTTTAAATAGCTTTTTATTGTATTATTTAGTCTTTCTGTAATTTGTCTAATTATTTTTTTATGACCATTACCAGTTTTATAGCATCAACAATAATTACTATGGTGTTTTGGAAACTATGGTTACCATTATAAATTTATGTAAGAAAATAAAAATAGCTCTAGCATTTTTTTGTAGATTCATTTGTGACATGCTAGTTTTTACTATTATTTCCGCGCTATAGTGTATCTAGGCCGTGTTGGAGTGGGGGGAAAATGCTGTAAAATTGCAATTGTACGTCACTGCCACAAAAATACTGAACAAACAAGAGATGGCCTTATTGTTTAAACAGAAGAAATCAGTGTCATTTGACATCTATTCAAGTATTAGGATAATGAACAACACTTCTCTTCTTAATGAACAGTAAACAAATGCTTTGACCATACCACAAAGACTGTTTATTACCAACACATTCACACTTGGCTTTGTGTTTAACTTTCACATTATAATGCGTTGTTTTTAAATCTTTCCCATTTGCATTGGAGACGCATTTGGCATCTACTCCCCCTGACACCTCCCACATTGCTCTGCGCACTGACTGAAACAGGATAAACCCTGCCAACTTTCACCATCTGAAGATGTGCAGAATATTTCCTCAGTCCATTTCCTTTGTCTTATCAGAGAAAGCCTCTCTGTGTTGTTTAGCTTAACCCTGAGCCCGGCACATTTGGCAGAGTGCTGGAGTCCTTCTTTTCCTCCGTCCTTATCATTTTCCAGTGGCAGACCACAGTAGAAACAAAACGTGGAGATTATCCTCCAAGTTCAGGAGGAGATCACTGGTACTGTATTTGTTTAATACTGTAATGGTGAAGCATTAGCAGTTTGAACCTCTGCCATGCTTTGACATGTTGAAGATAAATGATGTGGATCTCTGTATGCAGCGGATTCTTTGGCTGGGAACCCTTCTCCACTGCGGTGTGGGGACAGAGGTCAGGTCCCTCTGGAGACTGTATGATGGGAACAGGAGGTGAAGGAGCAGACTGGAGGCTTGTTTTTACAGTGACTGAACCAATTGCATTAAAACTGTCAGTTGATTCGGCTCTTCCTGAGTGAGTGTCAGTCAACTCCACTGATTACTGCCTCATTCCTCAGGCATTCACGTGAAAGTCACAAGACCAAGTGTAGGTATGTGTGTGTTAAGGCAGAAAACCGAAGGAGTTCTGACCCTTAAACATTTTTTTGGTTGTTTTTATGGGCTTTTTTTTGCCTTTATTTGATAGGACAGTTGTGGACAGACTGAGACTTGAACTTGGGTTTCCTGCTTACAAGGCTATGGGTCCAAACCTTCAAACATTTCTCTCTGATTTTTTATAGTAGCCTAAAGATGCATAATGAATCGGTAATTGGTCAATATTAGAGATTCTTTTAAATGTATCTGTTTTAGTCGATATAGGATATTGAATTGTGATTTGCTCATTTCCCATATTTTCACATCTAGATTACCTTCTTACTTGAAATAAATCTTACTTAAATCTTTAAAAACACTAATAATTTTAAAACACTGTCAAATGTAGTCTTTAGCAAATCAGTTCAAATAGTTGGTGTCAATTTTCCTACTGTACTTTATCCACCTTATTTTGAAACGTGGAAGTAAGCTATTTTCGGTGAAAAGTGCAAGACTTCCGACTAAGGCTGCCATAACCAGAAGAATAACAAAGTGTAACAGTAAACAGTGAAACTTTTTGTGCTACAAAGTAACCCATGTGTTTATCATTATGATAATGAATAAAATAATATACGCCATGGTTTCACAGACAGGGCTTAGATTAAGCCAGGATTAGGCCTTAGTTCAATTAGGACATTTAGGTTATAGGTTTCTCAACCATTTTGAGACAAAACAATGACATAGAAAAAATGTTAAGATATTTCTGTGCAAGTTGCTTTCAGGAAAAACAGCTCAAACATGCATTTCAGTCTAGGACAAGCTTAAGCCTTGTCTGTGGAACCAAGCAATAGAATTTTAATATATTGAATATAGTTATTGGCTATAGCATGACAATATGAAATTATAATATTTATTATCTGTGCATCCCTGCTTGCAAGAATTCAGTATCTCTGTAAGTTGATGATATCATTGTTTGACGAACATTAGTGGACTGTTCTTCCCAAGCACCACCAATGAGCATTTCGGAAGTTTTCGAAATGTACTCTTACATGAATAAATAAACATTATTTATTCTGAGCTTTATGAGTTTGTCTCCCTTGCTGAAAGTTTCATGTAACTGTGAATGGTTATGTGTAAAGTGTCATGGATCTGGTGCAGATTATGGATGTAAATCTTGAAGTGACTTTCATATTAATGTTTGAAGATTTATACAGAGAGAACATCCCTGACTTTTAGAGGCGAAGTGTGAAGAATGCTCCGTACTGAGTCGAGCCATTGCTTTTTTTCAGTGTCTTTTATAGTCTGCAAGATTAACTGGAATTTTAATAAGAGTGTGTGAGAGAGCAAGAGAGGATAGATGGAATGAGTGAGACGGAAGATCAGAGAAACAGAAGATGGAAGGAGAAAGCGAGTGGGCCAGAGTGCTCATGCTCAAGGACAGAGTAGCAAGTTTCAATTCAGCTTGAAATGCAAAAGAAACTTCAAATTGTCTTATTTTTGGCCTCTTTTGCTCCTTTTGCTCTCTTGGACTTGGCTCCCGAGTTGCCATAGAAATTATCCTATTGCTTTAAATGAATAAAAAACCCACGCAGACCTTTTCATTTCATAAACTTGTAGTTACAAGTTGTCATCACCTTATTATGACACCAAAGATAAAACAACAAGCACAAAATGAATCACTTTGTCTGGAATTAAATGCAACAGTTGCTCAACAAGTCGAAGAGCTTTCACCTCCAGAAACTCAGTCTGTTTCTTTCTACCTTTAATGTGCTCATCATTTCTTGGGCTAGCGGCTAAGAAGGATCGACACAGGTGTCGACACTGAAGATGTCTCGCAGCTGTGACAAACTCCGTAACATTGGTTGTGTCTGTCTACCAGATGCCTGCAGACATAACTGGAGAAAAATTCAGCTCTAGCACATTCTCTCAAGCCAAGGTTGTGCTGTGCAGACATTTTGTGTGTGTTTTTATGTCAAACATATGTAAGTCACTGCTCGCCTTTCCTGTCCTGGCGTCCCATCTCTAGGCAGTTGTGCAGCTCTTGGCGAGAAAGTGTTTGGCTCTGAGACTAGACCAGAGAGAGTGTGTGTGTAATACACTACAGTCCGTCCAGCTCTTACTATGACACAATAGTGTTGTAATGTAGCAGAGGTCGACATGCTTTTGGCCCCCTGACACACTAAAACATTACTAAAACAGAACACTTTGGCTTAACTGCATTTTAAATGTAACAGTATAGTGTTACAAAATGCGTACCTTTGTATTATATTGAATATATAGTGTACTTCAAATCTTAAAAGTATACTTTTAGAAAAAACTTGAATTGCAGATAATAAAATGTTGAAGTAAAATATCTATTATATAATATTAAAATAAACTTAAAGGCCACTTAAGAGACTACACTTTCATGACTGTTTCTTAACACTGAAATAATGTCAAATTAAAAGTTTTACTTTAAAGTAAATTTTCATTCACAATGTTTTAATCTTTCAAGTACTCTTTTTAAAAGAAAGCTAAATTGTTCTTCTGTTTCTGTTTTTTGCCCATTACTCAATATTTTACATTTTCATTCTTGACATTAATATGTTTTGAAAAGAGGCTGGAAAATGTCACACACAATGTTCACACACTGTGTGAATCCTATTATGTGTTTACTCTGTCTTCTCCTTTAAGATTCCTATCGAGAGAGAGAGAGAGAGAGAGAGAGAGAGAGAGAGAGAGAGGAGCTACATT